AGAGCAAAGAGTCCTGAGGCCACGCTGGGCGCCTGCCCGCCCTCCCCGCTCTCCGCAGGCCGCCTCCCCTCGAGTGCTTCTGCCCCCGTATCGCCCCCCATGGCCCCTGTGGCTCCATCTTCTCCCGGCCCCAGCCTCTGCCCCCACAGCGTCCCCACTTCCCCTCCCTGTGTCCCTGTGTCCCTTCCCGTCGGCTCTTCCTCATCTCCTCTCTGTCTCCTGGCCTCTCTCTCTGTTCCCCGCCCTCTCTCCCTTCTGTCGCCCAGTCTCCTGTTGTCAAACTTTCCCGCTCCCTGTGTGTCTGTCTTGTCTCGCATCTGTCTCCCCGTCTCTGCCGACTTCCCTGGCTCTCCTCCCACCTCCCGTTCTGCTTCCCCATTTCTAGTTCCTTCTCCTCGTCTCCATCCCCCTGGCGCTCCCAGCCGAGGTCCCTGACTCAGTGGCTCCTCATTCCTCGCCCTCCCCGTGAGCCCCCAGCACTGACCCCGAGGAGAGAATTGGTGCAGAAAGTTCAGGGTCAGCATGAGCTGCGAGCACAGGAAATAAAGGGCAGAGCCCAGCTGTACCCCAGCCTGGCGACAAGTGTCTGTGCGAGAGAGGGGTCTGGACATGGCTGTTTCTTGTGCTCTGGCCCAGGGGACAATTTATGGCCCTGTTCACTCATTCATTAATTCACTCATTCATTAATTCACTCATTCATTCATTCACTCACGCATTCATTCATTAATTCACTCACCTATCCACTGAGCCAAACCGGTTTCGGTGACATGGCTGTTTCTTGAGCTCCAGCCCAGGGGACAATTTATGGCCCTGTTCACTCATTAATTCACCCACTCACTCACTCATTCATTCATTTTGTTGAGGCCTCCACGTTTCAGGCTCTCCTGAGAACTGGGCACTGTATCAGTTAGGACAGGCTGTTATGCTGCAGTAACAAACAAGCCCAGGGTCTCCGTGGCTTAACGCAACAAAGGTTTACTACTGGCCAGTGCTGGTGGCCTATTGGGGGTCCCTCGGGGCTCTGCTCCATCCATCCCGGTGTCCCAGTCGCTGTCGCTGGGAGAGAGAACGGCAAAGCTGCCATGACTTCCCAGTCCCCGGCCTGGATCCGACACATATCACCTCCACGAAGATTTATTGACCCCAGCAGGTCATGTGACCACCCGACTGACTTCAAAGCGTGGTGGGAAGTGCCGTCTGGAAGGAGAGGGAAATGGATATTTGTGGAGGCCCTGTGCCTGCCCCCGGGTCACAGAGAAGTAGATTGTGTCCCTTGCCTGCTGAGGTGGGTTTGGGAGTGAGACCAATTCAAACGTCACAGATAACTGTTTCCTGCCATTTTCCTGTCAAACATTTTTTTAAAAAATAGTTTTGATTTTTAGAGAGAGAGGAAGGGAGAGAGAGAAACATCGATGTGGTAGAGAAACATCAATTGGCTGCCTCCTGCACGCTCCCCCGCCCCCACCCACCGGGGTTGAGCCTGTAACCCAGGCATGTGCCCTGGCTGGGAATTGAACTGGCAACCTTTCGGTGCGCCAGACGACACCCAAGCAACAGCCACACCGGCCAGGACACCCTGTCAACATGTAATGCAACCAAATCAAGGCAGGCAATCCATCCGCCTCCTCCCCAATCCAGGAAGGTAACACTCTGGGTCCCCTTCCCCTCAGATGGGTTGATAACAGCCCTCACCTCCGAGGGATTTGTTTGAGAACGAAAAGAATCGGTACATGGACAGCCTTAGAATGGCATGCAGTACCTGTAACACACGTCTGTGATTCTGCGTGTGACGACGACAAATTGAAAACTAAGTAGCGTTTCCTCACCTGTCAGACAATCGGTCGTGCTCTCCCTTCCCCTGAGCCTACGACCTGGGGAGGCTTACCCAGGGGTCCCCGGTAAACGCGTAACAGCGGGCTCTTCAGGGAAACAAGCCTGACTTGCAGTGCGGACCCGTTTCTGCGGTGTCACTATTGCCACCTCACATTCATCGTGTTCCACATGAAGACTTGCATTTTTTAAAAAATATATTTTATTGATTTTTTACAGAGAGGAGGGGAGAGGGATAGAGAGCCAGAAACACGGACGAGAGAGAGACATCGATCAGCTGCCTCCTGCACATCCAGTACTGGGGATGTGCCCGCAACCAAGGTAATATGCTAAGTGTCCAATTGTTCCTTCGACCAGTTGCTATGACGTGCACTGACCACCAGGGGGCAGATGCTCCAACCGGTAGGTTAGCTTGCTGCTGGGGTCTGGCCAATCGGGACTGAGCAAGGGGCCGGGCATGCCTTAGAGCCAACACCCCTCAGTTCCTCCCTGGCCTCTAAAATATTTCTTCTAGCCCTAGCTGGTTTGGCTCAGTGGATAGAGCATCAGGCTGCGGACTGAAGGGTCCCAGGTTTGATTCTGGTCAAGGGCACATGCCTGGGTTGCGGGTTCCATCCCCAGTTGGGGTTGTGCAGGAGGCAGCCAAGCAGTGATTTTCTCTTGTCATTAATATTTCTTTTTCTCTCTCCCTCTCCCTCTCTGAAATCAATAAAAAATATATATTAAAATATTTCTTCTAATTTCAATGTGCACCAATGCATGCACCCGGCCTCTAGTTATTTTATAAATACAGTGTAAGAAAACAGCTGACCCATGCAAACTCAATCTTACGGCCAAAAATGGAGAAAAGGCTGAATTACATTATACGCAATAGCAGTAAAATATGGAGTGTTTAGTGTTTTCCCCAGGGAGGAGGCTGAAACTGGCCCTGCGACATGCAAGCTGTGTGGCCTTGGACCCGTGTCTGCACCTCTCTGAGCTCAGTTCCTCGTTTGGAAATCAGAGCTGCCAGCGAGTCCTGAGAAATACCACTGGGGGCGTGGTCTGGGGACCAACCCTTTCCCACCGTAATTGGTGACCAGGGATCATCCAGGACAGTGGGGAACTCTATCTGGCCTTGTCAGTGGAGACTCGGAAGTGTAGCCCGCATTTTAAAATAGAAACGGAGTGGAATAAAGAAGATGATGCAGCACGGGGGTATTTCACGAAGCCATGTGGTCGATGTGACGACTAATGGATGTGCCTCAGAAAAGTTCGGAAGCCACTGGTCGAGGGCTCCCAGCTCCGTACGCTGATTCCCAGATAACGGACCCTTCACGCGGGACAGACATTTCGGTGCCGGTCGCGCTGTCCTACCGCAATCCGCCGCCAGGTGGCGCCCGTGTCCCGCCGCGAGCGGGTTCTGCCCTGTCTCACTGTCTCTAAGGAAGTGCCTTTTCCGGAAAATTCCTTACGAATGGAGTCAGACAATCCTAGTTTGTGTAAACACTTCTGTGTGCGTCATAGGTGGATCGTACAACCCAGCGATTCCACTTCGACTCCAACCGGTGACCCACTCGATGCCAAGGCAGTTTTAGCAGCAGCGTTTGCAGAATCTAGTGAGATATGCAGGGTCTCTTACGTGAATTTAATTAAAAAATAACCCACAGGGCAGCGAAGAAGAACAAGGAACACCTGCAGCGCACCCGGGTTCATCTTTCTTTCTCTGAATGAAGCAAGATACAGAACTACCAGCCCAAACAGAAAATATGATTGATATTCGGGGATTTAGCCCAGGTGGTGAATACGAAGATGGGCAAGAGGATGAAGAATCTAAAATGTTAAGACAGTGGCTTCCTCTTGGGGGTCAGGGGGCATCACCTGTAAGGACCAGAAAGAACCGCCTGGCATTTCAGGATAAATGTGCATAGACACGGATGGTGGGGGTGTGGCCATCACCTTACTGACTTTTAACTCTGTGTGGACATTTTCATTCGCTTTTGGTTGTCACATTTCCCAATCTTTACATTATTATTATTATTATTATTATTATTATTTAAATAAGTGAACTATATAGTGTTTTTCAATGTTTACTGATTTGGGTTGGGGGGAGAAAAAGAGGGGGAGAGTGAAACATCAGTTTGTTGTTCTGCTGATTCACACATTCATTGGTTGATTCTTGTCTGTGCCCTGGGGATCGAACCTAAACCTTGGCCTATTGGGGCGATGCTTTAACCAACTGAGCCACCCGGCCAAGGTTCACTTTCCCAATCTTTAAAAAAATTGAAAGAACAGCGAAGGAAACGATCAACAAAATGAAAAAACTGAAAAAAAAAAAAAACCCAACAAAAAAAATCCCCAATAACACTGAATGGAAAAAAACAGCCCACTGAATGGGAGAATATAGTCACCAAATGATACATCTGATAAAGGGGTTAATATCCCAAATTTATAAAGAACTTATATAAACACCAAAAACAAAACAAAACAAACAAAAAATAATTAAAAATGGGCAAAGAATGTGAACAGGCACTTCTCCATAGAGGACCCACAGATGGCCCATAGACATGAGAAAAGATGTTCAGCGTCACCAATCAACAGATAAATGCAAATTAAAACCACAATGAGATTCACCTTACACCGGTCAGAATGGCTATCATCAACAAATCAACACACAAGTGCTGGTGAGACTGCAGGGAAAGGGCACACT